TAACGAGTTTTTCTCGATTAACATATTAAGATGGGATGATCGTCTTCAAGTGAAATTGCCAACTACAAAGATTACGAGTACCCAAGTGAGAAAGACTCGAGTTGAGAAAGAGGGCTAGGCCCCGGAGAGGAGGGCTTGATGGGACTAGGGAAGACGGCTGGAATATATAGCTAGGAGCATAACAGATCGAAGGTTTGTCCATTGGGATTGGGCATGGACGAGCCTTGACTAGGCCAGCATTGATGAAAAAATGACAAAAGAGAAACTTCTCCCATCACATTATTAACTAATATAGGATTAAAGATCAGGTCCAGGATTTGATTCAAATCGACCTTACCTCTCATCTCAGGGCTAAGTTACAAACTTAGGATAACGAACTTAAGTTCATTAGTTGGACTAAGATAACATGAGATATATAAAAAGGAGGTTAGTAAAACGCAATATAAAGCCACCAAAATGCCATTATAGTCATTATTACAGAAGAAAAAACCATTAAATTTCTCAAACCTAAGGCTGGCAGCACATACAAAAGAATCTCAAAGAAGTAAGAGTTCATTACATACCAACAGTGTCGAGGGCTCGAAGAACAAGATAGAATATGCATACCTACAAACAAACGAAAATGACAAGATAAGAAATATTATGATGGATAAACATATGGATAAATAGTTTCAATTTCATTAAAAAGTAAGACAAGATTGTGAGATCCCACATCGATTGTAGAGGAGAATGAAACATTTTTTATAAGAGTGTGGAAACCTCTCCCTAGAAAACGTGTTTTAAAAACCTTGAGGAGAATCCCGAAAGGAAAAGCCCAAAGAGGACAATATCTGCTAGCCGTGGGCTTGAACTGTTACCGTTGGTATCAAAGCCAGACAGCAAACGATGTCCCAGCGAGGAGGCTAAGCCCCGAAGGGGGTGATCACAAGGCAGTGTGCTAGTGAGGAGGCTGAGCCTCGAAGGAGGATGGACACGAGGCGGTGCCAGCAAGAACGTTGGGGCCCAAAAGGGAGTGAATTGGGGGGTCCCACATTGATTGGAGAAGAGAACGAGTGCCAGCGAGGACGCTGGACCCCGAAGGAGAAGGATTGTGAAATCTCACATTAGTTGTGGAGGTAAGGGTGTGGAAACCTCTCCCTCGCAGAGGCATTTTAAAAACCTTAAGGGAAAGCCCAAAGAGGACAATATCAGCTAGCGGTAGACCTGGGTCGTTACCGTTACAAGGATATCTTGCTTAAGGGATAACTACGAACCAAATTCATTTAGTTCACCCACTTTACAAATAGTATCAAATATTTTTGTGATCTGCTAAATCAAAAGCCACAACAACTTTACGGGAAGCAATTTCGTTAAACTAATTGATATATGATTTCCAGATTTTCAACCATAACAGTGTTCTAAATCAATTCTAAAACATAAGATATGATTTGCTATGATCCTAAATCCCTTTTTTCAACTTTGAAACAGGATTTTGATGGCGACATTTGAGCAATAAATTGGATCTTCCCCAGTTCATCAGATTCTACGCTAAATATCATCATCAACACCAACAACCAGAAAACGAAACGGATTCATTCAACTAAAGAAACGCCAAATATGAAACACTCGATCTCCAACTTACAGCATTCCGAAGCTCGGGCTTAAGCTGTTGAATAACGATAGCAAAACTTCTTGAGACCTTATGCAACATGGTGTAGCAGAATCCCCAATGAGACTCCGGCGGGATCTGCTTCTCCGCATGTCTAGCAGCCATTTTCAGTTTCAGAAGCGGGTAAATGTCATCTGGATGTCTCAAAATCGCCCCCAAACTCCCCATTGCAAAGCACCAGGAATCCACAGAGCTTCAGATCTCTCGTCGATCAAACCGTAGAAGAAATCCCCGATTCTTCAAATGGGGATCCTCTTCTTCAATCAAAGAAACCGATTAATTCAACCCCAAATGACTGGTAACTGAATCGAGGGTGGACTCCAGCTACTTGAAGAAGACGACCCGAATTTTTTAAGAGGGAAATTTTAAAAGAAAAGTTTGGCTCATTGTTTCTTGCTTTAATCTCTGAGCCAAGTGTTTGTTGAGATCCTCGCCAAGAACAAAATAAAAAGGAGATGATGGTTTGATCGTGAGCTTAATATAATGTCTTTGGAGGAATTAAAAGTAAAGCCACATGACAATATTATACAATTGTCGAGAGTCGTACATGCTATTAAAGTCATGCCTTTAATTTAGGTATGTCAATAAAATCTAAGTGTCGAACAAAGAAATTGTTAACCTCGAATGTGTAGTCAAAAGTGACTCATATGTCGAACAAATGGTATACTTTATTCGAGGGCTCTAGAGAGGAGCCAAACCTCAATTAAAAGAAGATGGTTCGAGGGCTACATAAACCTCAGGGGAGGAGAAATTGCTAGTCTTGAAAGTGTAGTCAAAAGTGACTCATATGACGAACAAATGGTGTATTTTATTCGAGGGTTCCAGAGAGAAGTCGAGTCTGGATTAAAGGGAGGTTGTTCGAGGGCTACATAAACCTAGAGAGGAGCAATTGCTAGCCTCGAAAGTGTAGTAAAAAATGACTCATATGTCGAACAAAGTAAGGATATACTTTGTTCGAGGGCTCTAGAGAAAGTAGTCGAGTCTCAATTAAGGAGAGGTTGTTCGAGGGCTACATAGACATAGAGGAAGACTCTATAGTGTACTTTATCGAAAGGAATACATGTCCATTGGTACAAAGTCTTTCGGTCTTCTTCCTTCCCATTCATTTTCTAAAATTATACAAAATGACACCAATACCCTTTAACTTTTCATATTTCCTTTAAAAAAATACTTTTATTCTTTCCCTTTTTTTTTTTTCTTTTATTACGTTTTAAAATTAAATTCAGTAGAAATTGAGATTAAAAAATTAATGGGTCGATAAAATTATAAATGTAACTTTGTGGATTTTTAAATAATTTAGATATTTTTATATTTCTCAAACAAATAAAAACTTCATGGGAGGGGTTATTTCGTAATTTAACTTTTTTATTCGCATTAATAGTAATAAAAATAAATAAATTAGGTGGAAGGTAGAGGCCTTGTTAGACACGTGGGTGAATTTGTCAAATTTGCTGTTAAGAAGTAGACAAAAAAAAAAAAAAAAAAAAAAATTGTTTTCGTATTTAATTCAATTTTTAAAATTATTTATCGATATTTTAAATATTGCTAGTGGAATATCTTATCCTATAATTACTAAACTTTCAAAAATTGCTAAATTCAAATAATTCAAATAACCTCATAATCTAAGCCAAACTATAAAAATAAAATAAAATAAAATAAAAAATAAATGACTTAAGTATTTCATAATATAAGATTTTTTAAAATTAAAATATGTTTAAAGTGACGTAGACGTCCTCATTAAATTTCTCAACGATCTTATTAATTTATTTAACCACATCGACTAAATCATTAAATATAATATATTTAATGTTGTCACACATAGTGAATGACACTAATTATCGTACAAAAATGAAAACGACGTTCTTTCTTCATAAAATAATTATATTTGACTTTGAATAATTATATGTTGAGTGACAACCGATGAATCTTCGTAAAAATCACGTGTATTAAGATAAAGCATGTTAAAAATATCAGTGTTGGTTTGTGAAAATAGTAAAGAAATGTGTTGATTATCATATTCGAATCTTGAACATGTGACGTTGTACTTCATTAGAATTTTATTTAAAAACATTTATGCATAGTATCCACACGTGTATTTATAAGTCTTATTTAAATGAAAAAATCAATGTGACTTAAAAGAGAATAAAATATAAATCGAGATCAACAACTTACTATTAAATTTAAAGGTTTTTTTTTTAATATGTTTTGTCTTACTATATAATTTTTATATACTTGTTCAAAATGAATCATATGATAATTTCGCCCAATCAATATTTTTATTTTTATTTTTATTTTTAAATAATTCAAGGCGTGTTTGGTATTGTTATTAATATATATATATATTTGGGTATTTGAGAAATTATAATAGTTTATTATACGAAACCAGTTGAGAGGAAGAGACTAAATATAACATATTAAGCCTACTGCTAGTAAATATTATTTGTTTCAGCTTGTTACATATCACTGTTAGTCTAACGGTTTTAAAACGCAACTTCTAGATAGACATTTCCACAACCTTACAAAGAATATCTCTAAACTATGTGAGATTTCCCACCAAAATTATGGTACAAAATCAATGAGAGGTTCGGGAGGTGAGAAATATAACAAACTTGGTACAATTTAATTATAGATAAAAAAATTTAATACTTGTACGTATTATATTATAGAAAAACGTTCGACATATTTATTAAAAATAATTTTTATAGTCAAAGCAAACAATTTTTTTCTCGAGATAAAATGTCCAAACTATCTTCCTCTCATTTGTTGTATTAATAAAAACCTTTTGTATAGGTTGAAGTTCGAATGTGCACCTATGTTTGTAACGCTACATGAGCCGAGCTAGTTCGGGTCAAAGTACACTATATTTAATTATAAAAAAATCCCTTAATTCCAATTTGCTTCAATTCTGATAAAAGCAAATGAAATGACAGTATAAAAGTATAAAAGAGTCATTTCCATAGAATATAATGGCACATGGGAGAATATAAAATAAGAATAAAAATAAAAATAGCGATTTTTAATAAATCAATAGACGAAAATACCCTCACACGTAGAAATTTAAGTTTATATATATATATATATAAAGTAAATGAATAAAACTTTGTATTTTTTTAAAATAAAAAAAAAACTTTCTCAAATTTTTTAAGATTGATTTTAACTTATATTTATGAAATTTATTAATAGAAATTATATTGAAAAATCATTTTATTTTATATCATATTTTTGTTTATGAAATATTATTCAATTTATTGAAAAATATAAATGATGTATTAAAAAATTATTTGAAAATTAATATAAATTTACCACCTCAATCTCCCTCCGTGGGGGACGGGAATCTCTAATCTGAAACACGACAACGGCCAAGATTCGTCCACGTGGCATCACCTCTTTCAACTTTCTATTCTCAGAAACCAAAAGCTCCCATGGCGGACCATTCAACCGACCACTTCTTCGTCCTCCTCATGACTGTGACCTAATTTCCTCTCCCCGAAGTCTGGAGCTTAAGTTCGTTCCTTCCAACTTTCCGGCGCCAAAAAATGGCTTCCGTAATCCTCCATTCTCCTTTCTCAGTCACTGCTCGAATCCATAACCCTAATAATCTCAGACCACTCTCCCCCCCTTCATTTCCCACCATTTTCTTTCGTTCATCTTCCTCCCCTTTAGCTATAGATTTGTCGTCGCGGATTAACCGCCGATTCGCGGTTCCTCGCCGGCGTCACGAGTGGGAAGTCGGCTGCCTCGAGATTGAGAGCGAAATCGGCATTGAAGTACAAGAAAATGAACAGTTATTGGGGAGTGGAGGAGGAGAAGAATTGGGGAGCCAAGGGTTGTTGACTCAGATGAAGGAGATTGTAACGTTTACAGGGCCTGCCATTGGATTGTGGATTTGTGGACCATTAATGAGTCTCATTGACACTGCGGTTATTGGCCAGGGAAGCGCTGTTGAGCTTGCTGCTTTAGGTATTCTCCTAAATTTCCTTTTATTTTTCTCTGTGATGATTCTAAAAGCTTTGTTATATGTCAATTTTCCTGTTTTTCTTTGCCCATATGGTCTTCGAACTTCGGTTTTTACGTGGCGGTGGCGAGTGCGAGTTTTAATTGTTGAGTGTATGGTTGGGAGGGAGTCTCACATTGGCTAATTCCCTAATTTAGAGAATGATCATGAGTTTATAAGTAAGATAAGTAAGGAATACATTTCCATTGATAGGAAGCCTTTTGGGGAAGCTCAAAGTAAAGTCATGAGAGCTTATGCTCAGAGTGGACAATATCATACCATTGTGGAGACTCGTGGTTCCTAACATAATATCAGAGTCATGCCCTTAACTTAGCCACGTCAATAGAATCCTCAAATGTCGAACAAAGAAGTTGTGAGTCTCGAAGGTGTAGTCAAAAGTGACTAAAGTGTCGAGCAAAGGGTATACTTTGTTCGAGGGCTCCAGAGAAGGAGTCAAGCCTCGATTAAGGGGAGGCTATACGAGGGCTCCATAGGTCTCAAGGAAGGCTCTATAGTGTACTTTGTTCGAGGGGGGATTGTTGGGAGGGAGTCCCACGTTGGCTAATTAAGGGAATGATCCTGAGTTTATAAGTAAGGAATACATCTCCATTGGTAAAGGCCTTTCGGGGAAACCAAAAGCAAAGCCAAGAGAGCATATGCTTAAAGTGGACAATATTGTACACTGTGGAGAATCGTGGTTTCTAACATTAATTTCCTGAACTTCTTTTGTTTGTAACTTTTGACTGGCAGGCCCAGCAACAGTGTTATGTGATTATACGAGCTACGTGTTCATGTTTCTTAGTATCGCAACTTCAAACATGGTAGCCACAGCCCTTGCCAAACAGGTTCGACCAGTATTCTAGTTTCTTATAGAACACTTGTGCTACATTTCTTAAACAGAGGGGTTATTGCAGGATAAAAACGAAGTGCAGCACCACATATCAGTATTGCTATTTGTGGGGCTGATATCTGGTTTCCTGATGCTCTTAGTTACCAAACTATTGGGTTCAGTGGCGCTAACTGGTACTAAACTTCTACAATATTGCTTAGTTAAATGAAGGGCTCGTTACATTCATCAGTTTTATGGACTATTCCTTCACGTATTTCGCTACATAGACAGCTAGAACTTTGTCATCTGTTAAAAGTAGGCGGGATACGGTTACCGAGATGTTATTGTAAATTTTCAGCTTTTGTGGGGACAAAGAACGCTGATATCATACCGGCTGCAAACACCTATATTCAGGTTTGTCTTTTGGCTTTATGAATGTTCAAATTGGCGGTTGTACGTGACATTACTTAGTGAATTGACAAAAATTTAGAGTAGCAAAGAGGTCATCTAGGACTAACTTGAAAAAAACACCCAAACCTTAGGAACTAAAACATATTCTCAGACTATTAGCTTGTAACACAATGATCATAATAATTTTGATGCATAAATTTATGTCAGGATAATTAAATCTTTTATTATCTAGAATCATCTATTTTGTTGTACCCATTGATGTGGTGATATAAGTGTAGTTTCTTTTTTCGATGTTTATCGTGTAAATGTTCAAACAATTCCATAAGTTGAACAGAATCGTTTTCATTGGTAGATTCGAGGTTTGGCATGGCCCGCAATTCTCACTGGCTGGGTTGCTCAGAGTGCAAGGTTCTTATTACTAGATCCATGCCAATGCTCTATCTACTTCTTCTGTTATGGCTTTGGTCTATTTGTTTTATGATTGCTGTTGGTATCTGAACCCATATGCCAACATTTAAGCTATCCTTTTGGCTACTGATTTTACTATGTAGGTTTTAGACTTGAGGCCCTTAGCATTGTGGTTTACCTCATGAGTTTCATCTGTGAACTTGAGCACAAAGTGCCACAAGGTGTATAATTACTCTCTGAACTGAACTGGGGCAAAAGTGAAACAATATAAAACACTGCTTGTGCAAACTTCCAGAATAACTCCACTAGTTGCTTGATTATTCACCAAATTTATTATCTTCCATTTTCATATTTGCTTTAGTCTTGGCATGAAAGATTCCTGGGGACCTCTGAAGGCTTTGGCTGTTGCGAGTATTGTAAATGGCATAGGTGATGTTGTCCTATGCATGTTTCTAGGATATGGTATTGCTGGTGCAGCATGGGCAACTATGGTATCACAGGTATGCTTCTTTCTGTTTATGTTCATGTGCCAACTTTCACTGCATTTGTACTGTTCACACCTTAAAACCGTATGATTTTAGGTTATTGCAGCTTATATGATGATAGAAGCACTAAACAAGAAAGCATACAATGGATTTGCTCTATCGGTTCCCTCGTCTGGTGAATTCTTTTCGATACTTGGACTTGCTGCTCCTGTATTTCTACCAATGATGTCAAAGGTTCTATTTTAGATATTCCTTAACATTCATTTGTTTTTTTCGAGTAACGTGACTAAGATTATTTGTCGTTTAGGTGGTTTTTTATTCTCTCCTCATCTACTATGCTACGTCGATGGGCACACACATCATGGCTGCTCATCAGGTTAAGTTAAATAGTTCTGTTCATCGTTATCTTCCTATGCAAGTATCCTTCTTTCTTTTCATTAGAAATCAATGGCCATGTCAAATTGATGGCTTACCCTGCAATTCAGGTTATGATTCAAACATTTTGTATGTGTACCGTATGGGGTGAACCTCTCTCTCAAACTGCTCAGTCATTTATGCCTGGGTTGATCAATGGAGTGAATCGTAATTTGGATAAGGTAAGAATTGCAGATTGCTAATGATATGCCGATTATTTTTTTTGGTAACGATCCCTTACGTTGTTGTGGATATACATAGATCTTAGGAACTTCCTTGCATCGATACTCATTAAGCAATGGTGGGTAGTTTATTGATGGTAGAACCTATTTTTTATGGATAGTCATTGTGTTTATTGTGGAAATTCGTTTATATTGTGTAGGCCCGGATGTTGCTAAAGTCACTCTTGATCATAGGAGCTATATTTGGTCTCATATTAGGGTCAATTGGAACATTAGTTCCTTGGTTGTTCCCCTATCTCTTCACACCTGAAGAGAGGATTATTCAGGAGGTCAGTTATTAATATCTATACCCTGCCATTTTAATCTGTTCTTTTCTACCCGCCCCTCATTTTCATGACAATTAATGTCTGATGCATTGCATAAAAGCGTTATAGCCATAAGATGAGTATTTAAAGTTCACATTTCTCTCTCTCTACTTTCTAGAGATTTTTGTATGAGCAAATTGTGTTGTTTTATTTATAGGCTGAAACTACAGAATTCCGTTTTTGACTGATGGACACTCGAGGCAATTCAAAGTCCTTTAAACGTTGTCTAACTGCTATATATATTAAGTCAAGTGTAACAGCCCGAACCCAAGCCTACCGCTAGCAGATATTATCCTCTTTTGGCTTTCCCTCAAGGTTTTTAAAACGTGTTTGCTAGGGAGAGGTTTCCACACCCTTACAAAGAATGTTTCGTTCTCCTCTCCAATCGATGTGGGATCTCACAATGCACCTCCCTTCGAGGCCCAGCAGATATTGTCCTCTTTTGGCTTTCCCTCGCTAGCACTTGTTCCCCTCTCCAAAATCGATGCGGCTAACAATAAGGTTGATTATTTTCTATTTATTTGTACATGCAGATGCATAAAGTGTTGATTCCATATTTCTTGGCGCTAGTCATAACACCCCCAACTCATAGCTTAGAAGGGACGTTATTGGTATGTTTGCTCACCTTAAAGATTGTTCTCAAGATTCTTCAACTGAGTTGTACGTTCACTTATGTTTTTTATTGCATAGCTGAAATTTCTATATGCAGATTCATATTCATATCTGGTAAATTACTCCCTTCTTTTCAATACTATATCAAAGTGTTTATCGATATTGATTAGACAACAACTATATCGATAGTTGTGATGAATTAGCGTGAGCTGTTAATCGTATTATGGTGGTGAAATACCACAGAAATTCATCCTTTTATGGAAATGGATTTGTCTATAATACAACAAGAAATGTAAACGTTCTGGTTTATTTGGTAGATAGATGCAGTCCTCCCTTGTTTTGCCTCTGTTTATATATGCATACAATCACAAAGCTGGTAATAGCTCAAGCCGAGCTAGCAGATATTGTCCTCTTTAGGCTTTTCCTTCGGGGCTTTCCCCTAAGGATTTTAAAACGCATCTGCTAGGAAGTGGAAATTTCCACACCCTTATTAAGAATGTTTTGTTCTTCTCTCCAAAACTACTCTTTCTCCGATGTTTACAACTCAGGAAATCTGTAAATCTACTCGGGGGTAGAAAATAAATGATAAGTACCTAGTTTTTTTTTTTACTAAAATGTTATTTGTTGTTACCTCAATGTTTTGGGGCACTTGAGTTACTTCGTCTTTTGGGGTATTGACTTCAAACTCTTCGTTCTTGCAGGCTGGCCGAGATCTTAAATTTATTAGTTTGTCGATGACTGGATGCCTTTCTCTTGGCGCCCTTGTATTGCTGGTAATGTTTTATCCCCAACCCTTTAATCTCATTATTGATGGTTTCACAACTTTTTCCCACCCTATTATTTTCTTCCTTTCTGCTTTAACTGTGCAACTTCTTCCAGGTTATTAGCAGTAGGGGTTATGGTTTGACAGGCTGCTGGTATGCGCTGACCGGATTTCAATGGGTAAGAATAGGATATCTGTACTTATTATGTGAAGATAGCTGCTCTTCTCACTTTCTAAAATCACTTTCTTTACTTTCTCTTACTTAGGCTCGGTTTCTTATCGCTCTTCGGCGCATCCTCTCTCCTGATGGAATGCTTTACAGCAGTGATTTAAGCCATTATAAACTAGAAAAGCCAAAAGCTGCATAGGTGAGTCCATATGAGCTGCTGTGGACGATTCAATAGTTTTTCGATGTCTTTGCCCTAGTTTGATAAAGGAATAGATCTAAGCTGAATGGCTGCTGAAACCAGTGTTATATAAGAAGCATAGAATTTCACCGGCAATTTTGGAAGGTTGTGCTCCTGAATGAAGCTTAAAACAGATAGCAGATTAACTTTATCTTAGGCTTCTTTTAGCTATATCTGAATGAAGTCTTTCGCTTGTGCATCATAAGGAGTGTTGCCTTTAAGGTTGTTTTTTTCTGTCAAAATTGCCTGAAAGTATGCATCTTTCATTTGATTGTACCACTATTCTTTAATTGAAGCTTATATAAGTTTGTTTAATAGCCACCAAAATGGCAAAATATTCAGGGTTCAACAATGTACAAAGCTCTCATTGCATGAATAATCGCGCACCTTTTAATGCCAATAGAGCAGCTCCATATGCAGCCTCGGTCTGACTTGCCCGACTCACAGGCAAACCAAGAACTCTCTCTCGTATCTTCGTCCATTTCTCATTCTTGGATCCACCTCCAGCTGTGAGCACTTCTTCAACTTGAGTTGCTCCTAGATCCTTTAATAACCTATAACCCTTTCCCTAAATGTATAAAAGAGACCAAATTTGAGGCTTCTAGTCGAAGGATTTGATCCAAAGAGAATGGTGTCATTTACCCCTACCTCAATACGGGCAATAGATTCCAAAATTCCATGCAAATATTCGACATCATTTTCTGGCCGTGGATGTAATCTATATATGAAAAACAAAGAAATCCACAAAGTTGTAGTTACTTATGATGCTTGTACCACTTTAGAAACAGTAAAAACAGTACATTTAAAGACGCAACTGTCGAATGAAGATGTGAAGAACATGAAATCAACAACATAGGAGGGAGGGACTTATTGATTGAAACAGGAGATGAAACCTGGGAGCCATTTGTGGGTCTGCCTCCGGAAATCTCTCTCCAATTGAAGTCAAAGGATAGTAATCTAGGGGAGAACTTTTCATGGGATTGATTTGTTTGCTCAATTCTTCTAATTGTTTGTCAGTAAAGATTTGCCTTAGAACGGCTCCTCCTGTGTTTGAAGCACCTCCTACAAGCCACATATTGTCAAGTCGGTGGCTGTACACTCCAAACCGTGCATCGTCAATCCTATTGGTACTCAATAATTTGATGGCAAGCGTGGATCCCAAGGAAGTGACCTAAACAGCATTTAGTACAAACATGACTGAGAAGGCAGAGAATATAATAGATAAATGCAACTAAAACCATCCAAAACCAAAGGGTAAAAATGGAGAAAGAATTGGACCCCGAATAAAGAGTGAGGCGAAGGCAGCAAGCTAACCGTCTGCCCACGTGATAAAAGTTTTGGAGGTAAAAGTAATATTCCAGCCACAGGGAGTCTTGTTAGAGTGTTTTTTTCTGTCTTAAGAATTTGTGACTGTTTTCACTTAACTCGTAATCAAAACTCAGTAACTGAATATTTAGGTCTCGTACAAACATGTCGTTTTTTATTTAGTATTTTTAAAAATTAAGCTTATAAACCCTACTTTTCCTTAAAAGTTTCTTTCTTTTATTATCTACCCTTTCATAAATATCTAAGCAATCCAAACCAAATTTTGAATACTACAAAAAAAAAAAAAAAAAAAAAAACCC